ACCTGACCCAAGCCATATTATATTCAATCACTTCATATACATGTGAAAGCTGGACAGTGAATAAAGAAGACTGAAGAAGAGTTGATGTCTTTGAATTATGGAGTTGGTGAAGAATACTGAAAATACCGTGGACTGCCAGAAGAATGAATAAATCTTTCCTGGAGGAAGTGCAGCTGAAATGTTCCTTGGAAGTGAGAAGGGCCAGACTTTGTCTCAACTGCTTTGGTCATGTAGTCAGAAGGGACCATTCCCCGGAGAAGGATATCATTCTTGGTAAAGTGGAGAGTTACCAAAAAGGGGGAGGCCCTCAATTTGATGGATTGACACAGTGACTGCAACGATGGACTGAAGTCTGGCAGGGATTGTGAGGATGGTGCGGGATGAGGCTGGATTTCATTGTGTTGTTCCTGGTATCACTATGAGTTGGTGTTGACTTGAGGACACACAACAACAACTCAGGTCATATTGTCAGAAGGGACCATTTGGAATGACACAGTGGCTGCAACGGTGGGTGTAAGTATAGCAAGGATTGTGAGGATGGTGCACAACAAGGCAGTGTTTCATTCTGTTGTACATAGGATTGCTATGAGTTGGAGGAAACTCGATAACACCTAATAATGACACAATAATGTGAACTCAATATTGAAACACATCTGGCCACAAGGCAGTGGCATCATTAAGGTTGGTGTCTCCTAGTGCAGGAACTCATGGTGTCATCCCTCCCATGGATGTTCTCCATACCACACCATACAGAATCTTTAAAAAAAGAACCCAACTCACTGCCATCGAGTTGTGTCTGACTCATAGCGACCCCTCTTTGGGTTTCTGTGGCAGTATCTCTGCGGAAGTAGATTGCCCAACCTTCCTTCCGAGGAGTGGTTGGTGAGTTTGAACCACCAGCCTTCTGGTTAGCAGTCAAATGCCTTAGGCACTATGCCACCAGAGCTCACTACAGAATCCTTAGTAATGTTTATCACTAATTTTAATCATAGAGTAATATGTGACAAACAAACAAACAAACTCACTGCCATCGAGTCAGATCTGATTCATAGCAACCCCTCCTTGGGTTTCTGAGGTGGTATCACTACGGAAGTAGATGTAGTTGTAAATTGCTTAAATGTACTATTTAGACTACATGAATACTAACAACAAAAATGATCTGTAAAATCTTTCTACATACAATTACATTTTTAGTTATAACATTATTAGCACCTAAGCAAGAGCCTTTTCTTAATTTTCCCTTTTCCATTAATTAGTACTTCATTCTCAAAAAGGTTATTGATATAGGTTCACAAATACTAATTACCACAATATTGTTGCTAAAAATTAAAAAATTTGATAAAATCAGTGACTGTAAAAACTGGCATGACAAAAACAACAGTGCACGCTTGCAGCACATGTACATAAAGCCGCATGGTTCAAAGCATCATTGCCATTGGAAAATAATGACAGCTCTGACCTGAGTGCATTAGAAGGTTCAAAAAGTAACTTAACATAGAGTTTTAGCCTTGTAAGTATATCGATCCATGTACAGTTGGGCTTATGAAAAATCTATTTGTTGTTATAACTACAGGGATATTTTTATTAAAAAAAAGTAAGTTTCTGCTGAAACACTGCACAAAAATTTTATAGACAGGTTTTGATGTCACCCTCTATGACAGTGTCTCTTAGTGGGATCCATACCCCCCACATTCTTTAGTGAAGTCACTGCCACAAGGATTTTGATTAAGCAACTGTGGACCTGAGTTAGCAAATTTCATTAGCAAGAAAGCTACTATCCTTGATTAAATAAAGAAAAAGTTACCAAAAAAAATAAAATGCTGGGCAATGGAATTGAGAAGAAAATCTTGAACTTCATTTAAAGAACTCAGGATTGGGCAAGATTTTAAAATGCTGATTTAAATAAACACAATGTGGTAAATTACTCCTAGCTGTGCTGCCTATTTGGATTATAAATTGAACCGTAATGTACAAGTGTTAATAATTATACATTATCTCTTTTTTCCTGCAGTTATTAGCAATGCTCAGGCAAAGCCAAACTGGTATATGGAAAATTTTCCAAACTAAGAATTTAGATTAAGGGTCCCATTATTCCTCTGCCTTTAATCTAGCCGCTTATACTCTTTGGCCAGTTTCCTCAGCTATAAAATGAAATAAGTAATCTAGGTTAATATAAGTTCTCTTCTGAATTTTAAAATGAAATAAATTCTAAAATTCCATTGTATTTTATATTATTATCCCATGTGGTTCTAAAGAAGAGTATATGCTGCTATATGAATTTCCCTAAAATCTAAAACATATAATATCTTTGTTTTACAAAAAGAACCCTCTTACACGAATCAATTTCTTTTTATTTCAGTGCAAGTTCCAGGGCCAGTAGAAAACCTGCAAGCTGTATCTACTTCACCTACCTCAATTCTTGTTACCTGGGAACCCCCTGCCTATGCAAACGGTCCAGTCCAAGGTTACAGATTGTTCTGCACTGAGGCATCCACAGGAAAAGAACAGGTAGGCAAGAGGCCAGGCCACACCGCTTACATCAAGTGGTTGGCTCAAGGGCTAAGAAATGGTTGAAGACCTACGAGAGCTTGATTCAGTCCAGTGTTCGGTACATTAATTGGATAGCAGATTAATTTTAAAACATTTGTTGTTGGAAACGTTGAGTAGTTTAATTGAATTCTGGCATTGAGAAAAACAAATGGGCAATGAGATGGGGTCAAGATAAAGGATGCCCATGTTCTGGTTAAGAACAGGAGTGGCCTGGGCCAGCGTATCCACATTTGCATTAACTGGCCTGCACCAGGAATCATTGGCATTTTCAGTCTTTACCCTAAAGTGTCATAGCCTCTGTACTTAATGGCTTTAGGCAAACCACTTCTCTCATCCTGATACATTTTTTGTAATTTCTGTCCTCTCTCCATCATGCCAACAATTGCTGTTGAGTCAATTCTGACTCAGAGCAACCCCATCCATGTATATCAGAGTAGAACTGTGCTCAAAAGGATTGTCCATGGCTGTGATCTTTTGGAAATAGATTATCACTGGACCTTCCTTCCAAGGCACATCTGGGTGTATTTGAACTTCCAACCTTTCAGTTTGCATCTGAGCACATTAACTGTTTATAACATCCAAGGATTTCACCACCTGGCTATCACTTACACCTATCAGTACACCTTCCTCTAAAATCCCGTCCTTCCACTACTTACACATTGCCTCTAATCTGTGGTTAACACAGATATCTCAAAGTAGGTGAATTGGAATTTCAGGTAAAGAGGAAAGAAATCTTTAGTGAGGCACATGAAATGCAGCCATTTTCTTTCGTTACATGTGTATGACTGTTGAGATGTCTTACTTCCAGATTCTCAACTTTGTGTGGGTAAAGATAATAATAGGCAGGTGTATAATTAAATTGGAAAGACAGAGACATGACCTTGGAATACCTGGGTTATGATAACATGTTGTGAAGATTGCAAGTACAATGTGATACATGCTTCCACATAAACTGAATGATGTGGATTATTTTATTTTAAAATGTGTATTGCAACAGGTCTATTCAGACAGAATTCAAGTCCCAACTTATGTGATGGAGCGTTACCATGAGCTCCTTCTACATAATCATTCTTTTTTTTTAATGTGTTTGTTTATGATTTTCTTGCTGTCCCCATGCTGTTTTAGTTCTTATTTGTCCCTTTTCCATTCTATCCACTTTTCTATATGTTTTATTTCTTCAATAATATGCCTTTTACCAAACCCTTCACATAAATCAAACAACAGAGTCATTCAAGATGGAGGTGTGTGTACTGATCACCATGCAGAGCTGAATAATGCATCTTCTAGAGTGAATTGGCTCTAATTTCCTGCATGACCTTCGCCTCTAGTACCTTATTTTCTGCAGCTCTGAAGTGGTGGAAACAGTTCCAACCTACCTCCCAACATTTTGGGACATAAAAATCATGGCCAAGTATCTGTCAGTTTCAAGAGCCATGGATGTATTATAGCAGGGGCAGGAAAAAAAAAAATAACTATTTTTTAGTGAATTATTCAATTGGGGCTACACGAGTAATTGTCTGTTTGTATGGACTCTATGCCTATGGAGCTCTGTTCCTATGGACTTGGCAAGCTGCTCTCTACCTGCCAGGTTTCTGTGTGGGTGGAATAACCCACACTGTTCAATGTATTGGGTAGTGTTAAACAAATTGGAGAAGAATGACTGTAAAAATAGCATGGTGCTGTTTTAACAAGGAGTCTGCACAGGATTTGGGGCTTTCGTGGGGGAGTCTGTGTCACAAGTTAGGTTTTACAGCAACTCATTATAATGCTAGGGTGTAGTTTTGTAAGAGTCTAATATCCAATCTGCTGGTTGCACAGAATGACTGCCATTTCTGCTTTAATGTGCCTCCTTAATAACAGTTTTGGTGTTTTATGTCTTCAGAATATAGAGGTTGATGGACTATCTTATAAGCTGGAAGGCCTGAAAAAATTCACGGAATACAGTCTTCGATTCTTAGCTTATAATCGCTATGGGCCAGGAGTATCAACTGATGATATCACAGTGGTTACACTCTCTGATGGTAAGTAAGTGACAGTGACACTTCAATGTATATTTATTATAATTAAAAAGAATATTGTATATATTTCTGCATTCCATTTTCAAGGCTGACTGAAGTTTTCGGGAAGGTGTATTAGCACAAAATAGAACTTAGGCTTGTTCACTCACACGATGGCTGTCAAATTTAAGCTTTCATTCAAAGTATATAATCTGAATCAAAGATGTACTAATTGGGAATCCTCAATTATGAGTACTGCTTAAGAGCTCAAATTAAGTTGTTTACATTTTTATTTCTATAAATACACTAATTTATTAAAAAAAAAAAAACATATTTGTGCCAGTAAGTGGACACATTTGTACTGGCTTGATTTTTTTGTGCATCCTTTCTAATAGGTGGGAGACTATTAATAATGTAAACAGACAATCCCCCTATATGCACATCTTAATGTAAGATATATCATCAAGAATTCAGCGAGAGATTATTAAACTGAGATATGAAAATGTATACATTCAGTTGTTTGTTGCCAAAGCTATGAAAGATTAGGTATATTTTCTTAAATGCAGTAAAAGAAAGAAGGAATTTGCAATGAAGAGGAAGAATTTAACAAAGGAGCAGTAGGGGAAATTAGAGATCTAAGGAATGGACAATAATGAAATGTTGGGAAATTTAATAAAAAGTGAAAACACAGCACAGTACAATCTATTATGTGGGCATTATGAGAACTCAGGTACAGAGACACAGATATGACCCCCATGAATATGAAAAAGGCAACAAGGTATCCTTTTTCAGCAGCAATTCTCATATTGGTTTGTGTAATTCTACAAATTATTGATCTTTTGAATTACAAACAACTTTCAGTGTTGAATCGTTGACTGATTCATCATTCCTTAATCTGGGAATGTATATGGTCAGATGTTTCACATAATTATCAATGAGACAAAGAAGGAGGCACATGTGACCAAGCCCAGCAAAAGAGGACATGAGAGTAAAATAAAGCTCATTCGCAGTTTCCACTTAGATAAAATGTGTTTTATATGTGATACCATTTCAGTATCATTTTTTGTGTAATTCTAATGCCCATCCATGCAATTCTGTTATTGAAGGCAGAACAGAATATTTATTGGCAGAATAAATTAATTCACAACTTATAATTACAAAAATAAAAGAAAAACAAATGGAAATGAATACTTTACATAATTTATGTAGATTTAATTCACACTCTGAACTCTAATACTGTGGCCCTATTCTCCACTTTAGTCATAAATGTCCAAAGTGAGAAAGATAGATTATTACTCATTAGGCCCAGAATTATCTTTTGGCAGTGTTGCTACATTTAGGACTTAGAAAATGCCTGTCATTAAATAAAAGGATTTCATGACCCTGACTCCAACAAGCATCTCTAGGCAAAGAAAGCAGACACCTTTGATAGGAGAAAGGAGGGACGTCATGGCCACTTCGGTGTGGGCACTCTGACCTCACCTGCATCTGTCTTCACCATCAGCTCATCGATTTTAATTCTCAACAACAATAACCCCCACATTCTTGGCTTCCACTCCCTTGTTATCCAGCCCCCTTCTATCTACTTCAGTCTGATATCTCCTCTCTACTGAAGCTGTGCATGCTGAGGTCACTATGACATTTAGATGGTTTCAATCACACTGAATAGTCACCTTCTTCCCAGCTCTCAGTCATGAAGCCTGCTGCTTCATTTTTTTTTGGGGGGGGGGATGTTGTGAAAATTAAATGCACTGATCTATGTGAGCACCTGAAAAATACATGGCATATATTTAAGTGTTTAATAAATGTTATCTGTGCCAGTATACACATCTGTACACATCACTTGTTGCTGTTGTTAATTGCCTTCAAGTGGACTTCAATTCATGGGGACGCTATGTGTAACAGAACAAAACAGGGCCCTATGCATAGTCCTGGCCTATCATCATGCTTGTTGGTGTGCTAGAGTCCACTGCTGTGGCTATAGAGCCAGTCCATCTCGTCCAAGGTTCCCTTCATTTTCCCTCACTCTCTGCTTCACCTGTTTGGTGATATCCTTTTGTAGCAATTGGTCACAAGCTCCTTAGTTTAAGAATTGATGCTATCTTCTTCTTTGTGTCCATAATTCAGTATATATTTATTGTTTTAATCAGAGAGTTCAGCCAAACTGTACAAATGTTTGTATGCATAATATCTCTAGGTCCCATTTGCCCCATTTATGAGACTAATTAATAGATGACTGTATCTAAATGAATCTGTATTGTAGAGAACATCATATTTCTTTTTTTTTTTTTTTTAATTTATCTCTATCTAACTAACAGCGTTCCCTCCCCTCCCCTCCCACCCCTGGTAACCAACAAAGAAAATTTCCTTCAATAGATAAACCTTTCCTTAACTTTTACAATAAAGGACTAATACAATATTTGTCCTTTTGTGATTGACTTATTTCACTCAGCATAATGTCCTCGTGTTATTTCCTTTGTTGCTGTTGTTTTAGTATATGCTGAATATTTGTTCTTGTCCTTTTTTATTGTGATATGAAGGTTTATCATTTTTCTTTGAGGTTACCCTATGATTTATAATTTTATCCCCGAGTTTAGAAGAGTCCATTCTATCTTTCAACTTTCTTAACTTCCTCACCATTTAGAACTTCTGTGACTATATAGTCTTTTCCCTCTTTTTGTTTGTAGTTGTCCTCACTTGATAAAATTTAAATTTCCAGAGGTGTTATAAAAACCTTTAATAGGTCAAGGAACCCTAGAAAAGTCATTGTATTTCAGTTCTTTGTTGTTGTTGTTGTTGTAAAACTCTCTAAAAATATGAGACTTCAGTTTGAGTCATTTGGCCAAAGGCTAAAAGAGGTTAGAACTGGGACTCAAGATTTATTCAAATCTGTTCAAGTAAAGACAACATCAACACTCATGGCTGCCAACAGGACAGGTCACCATACGGGACAGTGTGCCAGCTGGTCGGCATAGTGATGCACTGCAGTGCAGATACACCGGTCCCCTGAGTGCCTGCTTTTTTTCAGAGACAACAAAGGCAAAGGTGAAAATGTAGACGCACAGGTAGTGAGAAGGAAATGGAAGGTTCAAGGTTTCCTGGACAGGTATTAATTGGGTCTGATAATTATCTCCAGCGTAGGGGCATCCATTCACCATTATGGGCCACTGTGGTTCATACAAATGGTTTGTGCTGGGTGTGGCCCAACACTGATGAAGGAGCAGCCCTATGTAGGGGTCTGTTCTTTGGTGAATGGAAACTTCCACATAAATGGGATCCCGAAGGAACTTCACAACTGGGTAGTCATCAACAGTATAATAGGAGCTATAGTTTTTATCTTTGGCAATTTGAAGTTCCTGAGGAGTCCAGGCTGGATGTCAGGAAGGGGTGGTGGGAGGGTGAAAATCTGGACATTAGCTGGAAGAACATTGCTACTTACTGAGTAGCTGCAGCTGACTTGAAGCATGAATATAGTGTCACGGGTAATAGAACTACGGCTCCACGTTCTCACATCCCTAGATGCTATTAGTTGATTTTCATATACAGCCTGGTCTCCAGCCATCTGTCTTGTGGTACTGCAGGATGTAAAGGGGAACTGGAACAGGACAAAGGCACGTGTTGCTATCACAGCTTTACATTCGCTGTCATTCCCAAAGACCAAGCGCACAGAATCCAAGAGCAGTGGTGGTGAGGTCACATTCCCAGACACTGTGATGGAGAACTGGCCATCTTGGGAGCAGTGTGTTGTCACTGTGTTTCCATAGTAACAGGAATTCTCTTCAGTGTTGTAGCAGCAGCCTAGGGCTTGACAGTCTCCTTGAGTGATGGGTGAAGGAGCACATGACAGCCTGTCCCAGACTGGGACAGAGTCACAGAGGTCAGCATCTGGATTATCTCAAAGGTTTATAAGGCACTTGAGCACCTCTATCTCTGTCACCATCTCGTGTCCAGCTGTATCTGTTCCTTCAGCCCCAACTGGCAAGAGTAATTCTTATCATAAAAATTTATTTTGAGGCAACAGGAAAATTGAATAATAATAAAAATGAAAAGAAAATACTTTTTTTCCCCCTCAGATTTAATTATTCCGATGGTTTCTTTCTCCCTGCTCTGCTAAGGTGCTTATAATTTTTTTTTTTAAATCAGATTGTTGTTGTTGTTGTTATGTGCCATCGAGTCGGACCCGACTCATAGCAACCCCTCTTTGGGTTTCCGAGGCAGTATCATTACAGAAGAAGATTGCCCAACCTTCCTTCCAAGGGGTGGCTGGTGGGTTTGAACCGCCAGCCTTCTGGTTAACAGTCAAGCGCCTTAGCCACTACACTACCAGAGTTCCTTAAAAATCAGATTACCTGTACTTAATTGTTTTTCTAAGTAGAAATGCTATATTTCATTCATTTCTTCCACCTGGTATCAAGCTGGCCTACAGAAGTTCACTACTTCAAACCATTGGGAATTTAGAGTGTAAAATCTAAGAAGTCTGATATTAGTATAGTACATTACCTACAACCCTTATGAAGCCCCAAGATGAGAAGTTGAACATTGAAACAAAATAAACGATTGTCATTCTAATCATGTCCACAAAGGTTCAAGAGCTAATACTTAAGTATATATTAATTTATTCATTCATTCAGTCAGTCAATAAATACCACTTAAATATCAGTTTAGAGAATATAAAAATGAGTCAGACATATGCCACACCTTCATGGTGACTACTATTCAGAAGGTAAAATCAGAGGAAGGAATAATTAACACACATAAACTTATAAGTATCCTAGGAAAATATGCATATAGATGAAGTTTAAGGAAAAGAAGGGAACGTATGAAAAAAAAAAATGGCCCTTAAACTCTTGAAAATGCCAAAGAGCGTTTATTTCATATTAAATTTATCAATTTGCCATGGAAAGTTTGGAAATGCTCATTTGATAATATGTAGATTAGTATGTCTTAAGTATTTTTTGAATGCTGCTCCTATTCTAGTTGTAGGGCAGGGAACTTTATTTTATTTATGGTTCATCCCAGGCATCCAGACTAATGGCTGGCACATAACAGCCATTCAGTGACTAGTTGTCTGTGAATTACTCACATGATAGAATATGAGCTTTTTTATAGAGTAAAGATTCATTACAAGTATTCAAAATAGAGTCAGATATGTTCTTCCTTCTGCCGTGAAGAAGTGGAATCATCGAAATGCAGGGAAGAGATAAGAAATACCTAAAGAACCCACAAAGGGGAAAAAAAAAAAAAAAACCCTACTCCTTTGTTAATAGAATTGATTCACCAAATACTCTGGTAGCATAGTGGCTAAGACACTTGCCTGCGAACCAGATGGCTGGCGGTTCAAACCCACCAGCCACTCCTCGGAAGGAAGGTTGGGCAATCCTACTTCCGTAGTGATACTGCCTCGGAAACCCAAGGAGGGGTCGCTATGAGTCGGGCTGACTCGACGGCACATAACAACAACAACAACCTGGTTTCGTCAATGAAACAAAGCTTTAATTACATAAAGCTAAAAACTGGGATATATTTCAAAATATATTTTCCTTTTTGCTTTTAAGAGATCATAGGGATTACAATAAATGGATTAAGCATCATGTCTGACCATTAGAATGACATTATTTCATCATAAAACCATGCAGATCCTGAATGCACAATATCTTTAAGTCTTTAAACCCACTCTAGGAAATCATGTGTGTATATGTATATGTATGTGTGTTTAATTGGTTTATCTGGGAAGGTTATCACAAGAAAGCTATGATTAAATGTCAGTACGTGGTGTCATAGTAGTCATTCTGTTGCCTACCTATTTTGAAGTCTCACCAAATGAGTAACTGGCTACCAAATGAGAAAAAAAATAAACAGATATAGTAATGTTTTCATGTCTTCAAGTAAATTTTGAAATGTTACATGGATTAACTTATGTAATTATTATTACATTATAAATTGTGAGGAAAGACACACTGTTTCTTTCAAAAAAAGGATTGGGGTTTCTCTTCCAGATTTTGGCAGTAACCATTCCAAATATTTTTATTCCTTTTAGTGCCAAGTGCTCCACCACAGAACATCTCCCTGGAAGTGGTTAATTCGAGGGTAAGTTGGCCAATTTTTCACTACTTCATGACCTAGTATGCACAACTTGTACTCTTTCAGTGGCCATGTTGGGTGCAAAATGGCCACCTTAGTGTAAAGAAGCATTCCAGAAGAGCACAATGAGTGGCATTAATCTCAAATCCCCCTCTGTGAGACTTGGATACATTAAATGAGGGATTTGCTTACTTCTAGTATAATAATTTTATAAATTGTATAAAGATTGAGGAATATGCCATCAGCAAACAAAGAGGTCTGTGTTATATATATATATTCACCAGGACATAACTCTAGCAAAGTCCTAGACAAAGCAAATGAACATGGGAATGAATGAAACAATTGAAACAGGTGGGATAAAGAAAACCTTCGAGTTTCCTATCAGTATAATTGGAATTTAATATTCATCATCTATATTTTCCCTTAGAAATATAGACATTGAGAGTCATTCTTAAAGTCCAGTAAGGTTATATTTATGAAACCATGCTACACAGTGATGAATGTTTTCCTGGCTTGAAAAGTTGGTATGACTTTCAAAAGGTCATAATTTAGGCAAGGTATAGCAGAAGATAAGCAGCCTAATGCCAGAAATCGGTTTCTTATAAGCATCTCATTATTTCAAGTACATTTTAGGGTTGAAAATAAACCAAATCCATGCAGTGGGGTAGAACACAAAAGGTTGGTCTGGCTTTGACCCTGTCATCACCGGGTTGTGTATAATTGGGGAAATCATTTTACTCTTCCTGGACCTCAGTTTATTTACTTCTCAAGTGAGGATATTGACCTACATGACTTGTCAGATCTGGGAGACATCAGAGAAGATGTTTGGGTTTTAGAGAAAATCATGCCTTGAGATTTAATGCTAACTAATAACTGCATGTAGTCTTTGAAAAGTGTTCCAGCTCACCAAATCTGTTTCCACATTCATGTAGTGTACTAATGTCTACCTTATTTTTATGTCATAAAGGAGTAGAATTATATGCATTGGACCTAACCTGATGTTGATAATTGTTCCATCCCTCCATGTACAATTCCTTGCAGATGCAAATATGGACAATAAAGCCATGCTTTGTGACTTGATCAGCTTTGCATCTGTGGAATAAATGTGTCCTTTGGAGCTAGTGACAGTCTCCTAACATTATTATCTTCTTATATTTCTAGGCACTGTATTACATAGAAACTAGAAAAATAAATTTAAAATTAGAAGCATGGAAAATAAATGAATTTAAGGAGAAAAACATGAATAAAAGAAAAGAAAACCAGAAAAAAATATCACCCTAAAAAAGAGAAGCGTTTTTATTTGCAATAGTAATAAATATTTTACAAGGGTGCCACTCAGATTATGACATTGCTGACTGAAAGCCAACTATATTTTCACAATTATATTATGTTGTTACAATTATAATATGTTAATGAATGGAGTATAAAAAATATATTGTACTTTCTGTTGTTTTAATAACTTATTTTCCTTAGAACACAGACTGTACATAAGCAATTGTGTGTGTGTGTGTGTTCACATACTTTAAAAATGTGCTCCAGCAAAGGATAAATATTTTCTTCCTAACTGTGAATAATACATTATTGAATGATAATGGATAATACTGGATTAGGATGTTGTTGTTGTTGTTATGTGCCTGGATTTGGATAGGATTTACTATTTTCTGAAGAGAGAGCTCCTAGATTGATTTTTAACTAATTCATATATATGTGTGCACACATACAGTATGTATTCTCTCCTATAATATGCAGTGCTTCTAGAAACCTCCTGGCTTCCATCCTCTTGTAGATTATCTCTGGAACAGTACACTGCTAGAATTTGTAATTTGTTCATATGCTTTTCTGTGTGAATTCAGCAGGCCCACACATGGGAAAACCTCTCTCTCTCTTCTTCCACCTGTTATCTTATTTCTTAGTTTTTAAGGAATTATAAATTACTCTTCTTGAATATAACAACAACAACAACATTCTTGAATAGTTACTAAGAGTCAAAAAATTGGTTGATGAATAATGTACTTGAATAATATTTCTATTTTGATATTTTTCTCTTATGGAATAAAGGAAAGTATCTCAAATACATTAATATTTACTTCTGATTACTACCATTTCAAGGAAAAAAATGTATTTTAAAATACTTGTGGTTCAATAAGTATTGTGTTCTTTTAGACTAAAAACATTTTAGTGATTTTTAGGTAGTTCATTTTACTTCATAGTTTTTTTTCAGATGGAAGAAACAAAGTCCTTTGTTTGCAAAATATATTCTATATGATATTTGTGATGATAATTGATCAATTTTTGGCACTTAATAAGTGACACTTATTAATAGTTGTGCAAAAAGCTGGCTGGGGTTTTTGTATATAGAACAGACATGTCCTTAACCAAACCAGTTGCCATCGAGTTGATGCTAACCCATGGTAACTTTTCATGTGTCAGAATACAACTGTACTCCATAGGATTTTCAATGGCTGATTTTCCCAAAGTACATCATCACTAGTCCTTTCTTCTGAGGTGTTTCTGAGTGGACTTGAACCATGAACCTTTTTCTTACCAACCAAATGCATTAACCATTTGTATCACCCAGGGATTCCCCAGAGGTGATTTAGTGGGGGGAAAAAAAAAGCAACTCACTGCCATCAAGTTGACTCCATCTCATAGCAACCCTATAGGACAGAGTTTAATTGCCACGTGGGTTTCCAAGGCTATAAATCTTTATGGAAGCAGACTGCTTCATCCTTCTCCCATTGAGTAGCTCGTGGGTTCAAACCACCAACCTTTTGCTTAGTAGCCAAATGCTTTAGCCAACATATCACCAGAGTACCTTAAGAGGCTCTCATCAGGTATAAACTGATGATTTTTAGGTGCTTGTTAGAGTTACGAGCACCAATTAGCCAACTGGGCTCAAAAATCATGTTTATTTAGGGGTATTCAAACAGAGAGGTCCTTATGCATTTCAATAAATAAAAAGGGGAGGGGGGAGCAGATTTTCTTACTATATTGTCCTTGAAAACACAAAACAGTGTAACATCTTTACTAAACTGACATCACAGGACAGACTAGATTCTTTTCTGCAAGCTAACTGTGAGCATGAAATTTTGTGAGCAGGAATGATTTGATCTATATATATTGCTGTCGTTAGGTGCTGCTGAGGCAGCTCCCACTCATAGCCACCCAGACAACAGAACAAAACACTACCTGGTGCTGTGCCAGCCTCACCATCCTTGCTATACCTGAGCCCATCATTGCAACCACTGTGTCAATCCATCTCGTTGAGGGCCTTCCCCTTTTTTGTTGACCCTCCACTTTACCAAGCACGATACCCTTCTCCAGGGAATGATCCCTTCTGACAACATGACCTAAGTTCATGAAGGAACTTCTTCCTTTAATACCATTGGTTCTTGATCATATGTCACTTCCTGAAATGGATGAACATCAACCAATTCATTTTGGAACAGTGACTATCTATTCCTTCCATCTTCTTTTGATGTTTCCTTCATCAGTCGTTATTTTGCCCATAGAATCTTTCAGTATTTGCAACTCGAGGCTTGATATTTTTTCTTCAGTTCTTTCAGCTTGATAAATGCCAAAGGTGTTCTTCCCTTTAGGTTTTCTAACTCCAGCTCTTTGCACATTTCATTATAATAATTGTATTTGTCTTCTTGAGCTGCTCTTTGCCTCTTCTGTTCAGCTCTTTTATCTTGTCATTTCCTCCATTTGCTTTATCTACTCTCCATTCACAGGCAAGTTTTGGAGTATCTTCTGACATATATTTTGGTCTTTTCTTCCTTTCCTGTCTTTTTAATGACCTTTTGCTTTTTTCATGATGTTTTTGATGTCATCACATGATTCCTCTGGTTTTCAGTCATTGGTGTTAAGTGCATCAAATCTGTTCTTCAGATGGTCTCTAAATTCAGAAGGGATATAATCAAGGTCATATTTTGGCTCTGGAGGACTGGTTTGAATTGTCTTCAGCTTCATCTTGGACTTGCATATGAGCAGTTGATGGTCTGTTGCACAGTTAGCTCCTGATCTTGTTTTGGCTGAAGATATTGAGCTTCTCTATTGCCTCTTTCCACAGATGTAGTCAATTTGATTCCAGTGTGTTCCATCTGGTGAAGTGTAGCTGCCATTTTTGTTGTTGAAAAAAGGTGTTTGCAATGAATAAGTCATTGCTCTTGCACAATTCTATCATGCCATCTCCACTGTCATTTTCATCACCATAGTTTCCAACTACTGGTGATTCTTCTTTGTTTCCAACTTTTGCATTGCAATCACCAGTGATAATCAGCATATCTTGATTGCATGTTTGGTCCATTTCAGACTGCAGACATCAGTAAAAATCTTCAATGTCCTCATCTTTTGCTTTGGTGGTTGGTGTGTAAATTTGAGTAATAGCAGTATTAACTGGTCTGCCTTGCAGGGGTATGGATGTTATCCTATCACTGACAGCATTATACTTCAGGATAGATCTTGAAACATTCTTTGTGATGATGAATGCCGTGCCATTCCTCTTCAATTTTTCATTCCCAGCTTAGTAGATCATATGGTTGTCTGGTTCAAAATGGCCAAAAACAGTCTACTAAAGCTCACTAGTGCTTAGGATAATGATCTTTATGTGTTCCATTTCATTTTTTGACAACTTCCAATTTTCCTAGATTCATATTTTGTACATTTCATGGTCTGATTATTACTGGATGTTTGCAACTATTTCTTCCCATTTTGAGCCATGCCACATCAGTAAATGGAGGTCCCGAAAGCTTTACTCCATTCCCATTATTAAGGTTGGCTCTACTCTGAGAGAGGGGCTCTGGTAGTGTAGTGCCTAAGGCACTTGACTGCTAACCAGAAGGCTGGTGGTTCAAACCCACCAGCTACTCCTCAGAAGGAAGGTTGGGCAATATACTTCCGGAATGATACTGCCTCGGCAACCCAAGGAGGCGTCACTATGAGTCAGGGCTGACTTGATGGCACATAACAACAACAAAAACTGCTCTGAGAAGCAGGTCTTTCCC